GGGTGTCCACTGTTTGTGGTTGAGTTGCAGCTGGTTTTAGGTCGGTCAGATCTGGGCCGACACCATTTTGTGCTAGCACGAGGCAGCTATGCTCATGAAAGCTGTCCACCGTAAACGTGTCTAGCGCCGTCTGAGGAATGTTCCTGTGGTCGGTGGTGCCATTTACTGTCGAATAGATACTGCCTGGTGAGCCCTTGGGGAATGGAGCCCGCAGTCGGCGAAATGTCACCCCGCTCGCCATAGGCAGGGGTCACGACGACCGTCAGTCGCCGCCACGGGTCACCCGAGGTCACCGGTGCTGCCGTCACGGGTCGGCGCATGGCCGATCTGGACCGGCCGAGGTCACTCATTGACTGCACGACTGACAGCGGAGAAAGGCGCCCGCCGTTCGCCTGACCGACCGACGACAAAAGAAACAATACGCAGACAGAAGTCGTGCCATGGCTCTCAGCTTTCATCGGTGGATGGAGGGGATGCATGGCAAAGCTTACCTACCCATAGACGGTCTCTCTGTTCGTTGTTTAGAGCGCCATGTTCGGACCATCTCTCGCTTCTGGACGGCTCTGTGAAGAGGCTCTGCGGGAGGCTAGTAATGGTGCGCTGGCGTGCTCACTATCCAACCCAACGAGAGTGGTCGGCCCTAATTTCCTCACGCGCGCCCCGCCCCTGTTGCCGCAGTCCCGATCTGACACCGTGGCCGCCCGGAGCGAGCGCCCGCTGACAGAACTAGTGTTCGTGCTGCAACACACGCTCTGCCGCCTCTCCACTGGCGTGGAACGACGGAGAATGAAGTCTGTGACAGCCGGGTGCGAACAGGAGATACGCAGGAAATGAGGTAGAGATTTGAGAACTGACAGAAGACGACAGTTACGGAGAATGGAACGGACGATGCAAGTTTTATGCGGGCGGATGCGAGGTGCTCAGTTTTTGTCTACCAAAGTGATGTTGAAAAAGGAAGGAGACATTTTCCCGAGTGAATAGTGGAAAAACATCATTAATTATGCAAACGGACTGATTCAATAAAGCTGTCGCCACCAGAAAGTCGCTCTGAAAGATTTCGACGTCTGTGATAACCCGTTCCCCAGCGAAGCCAAACAGCAGACTCGCACACAATCGTCACTGAAGCCCGTGCCGGAACCGTACGACGTCTGTTGTATGTCTTCACGCCCCGTGGACAGACTATCAGATTCCTTTGCCCTGTGGTGCTGTTCGTACCTCCCTGTGAGCTGGCGTGTTCGTAACCCTTCCCGACGCGGTTGTGTCGCGGTGGGGGCGGCCGGTTTTGTGTTCACCCATCGAGCGTGGACGGTGAGCTGCACTGACTGCGGATGGAGGGCAGACGCTAATCTGTCAGCACTCCGGGAAGCGAGAGGTGGGTTCTTGCTTCAGCTGGATGATGCGAAGTGATCTTGCGCACATTGCTCGGAGCAGAGCACGCACGGAGCAGATTACTCAACAGCATGCGATGTTTTATTCTTAGCTCGCGGAGACCGAGTCAATTTGGCCACGTTAAGTAGCTGCCGCTATAATTCATCCTTCCTGGCCTCCTCTAGTGCTGGTCTCCCATCCGGGTATTTGTCTCCACTAGACTGGGCTATTATCACACCATCTTCATTTTGGCCCACAAAGCCATGATAAATGTTTGTTTAAACCGTGCCGTCGTTTTCTCGGCCAGATGGAGAATAGCTGCGGCGCTGTGGACTCGTTTTCATCTCGCTGGGCGGAAGAAAACGGCCGAGTTCGCAGACGGTGGCAATCTCATGAGAACTCCGTAATTCTCACCACAAAGTTTTGTGTGGGAACGGTCCGTATAAAACGCCCACCAGCGCGCGCTGGGATTAAACCATAGTTTCCTTGTGGCCAACATTGGATTCTGTGGCCGCAGTGTTTATCTACAACTTCGAAAGGGTCGCTTTGCGGGCAAGGCGTGGTGAGTTGGATCACCTATTCTTTTCTGTCGGCAGCGTCGAACCGAAACTAATCGAAGTGGCCACGTCCGGCTGCGTCCCACTCTGTGAGCCCTGCTCGGTTGGCTGATCCGGTCTGGCAGACTGTGGGAGGCGGACGGTGCCCACCCAGTGTGAACGCCCGCCCGCCGTCCGCTGGTCGGCTCGGACCGGGCGGCGCCGTGAGCCGGCTCAGCGGCCGGTCAACGCCTCAGCAAACACCCGCCCTCTGTGTGGACAGGCGGACCGCGGGGCGGCGCAGCTCGTCATTAATCGGACCGGCCGTCGCCACTCTGCGGGCCGTGATTGAACATCGACCGAGCGGCGTCACTGACCCGTCTGTCGGGATGAGCGCCGGCGACGGTCACCGACGTCGTCCACAGCGGGCGACGTCTTGGGTAGGCGGCGTCGGCCGCCGGTGATGCTGGGTCGGTGGGGGCGATAGGGGTCGACTGAACCATGTTCGACAGCCAGGGTCATTTCCTTAGCAGCGACCGGCCGGTGGGTCGGAACAACAGGGGTCAGGTGGACCACCTAGGCTCATTTCCACAGCGGCGCGCCGGCCTAATTAAAAGTGCCGAGCCGACACCTGTAGCCCGGTACAGGAGGCGGGCTCGCGTGACCTGCGGCGCGTGTCTCGACTCTGGAAGCCCCGTGGTGTATGATGAGTCTTCACGCACTGATGGGTCGCATCGAGCGTCTTCCAAGAACCACGCCAGGCCTACCTCTGAGACTGGGTCGGGGATTGCAGGGATTTCATACCCGGCGTACCGGCTGGCGGCTGTATTTCGCTCCCCCACTCCATTCTTCCCCGCCCTGAGTCGAGTTGTGTCTGCGGTCACCGTCGAGCTGCTACGACGACCGGAACGGCCGGCCCGCCGGGTAATCGGAGCAAATGACCGCCACGTGAGCACGCCGGCCGCGCGCGAACGTGCCCGCCGTGCTGGCCGTGCCGGGCACAGACGCCATCGGGCCGTCTCTGGGGAACCTGATGGCCCCGCCTCAGCCACCACCCCACCCGGGAATGTTTGCTTTGGCACAGCCCGAACCTTTATGGTTGAGCGGCGACGACGTTGAGTGTAAATGTGTGTTAAGTGCCGGTACGTCCGGGCTTTGGCGGTAGAGTTGGCTCGTGAGGACCTTTTAGCGGTGGTATGTCGTGAGTTTGGAGTTCGGTAATGAGTACTTGGCCTTCACGGCACAGTCGTGTTTTTGTTTTATACGCCAACATCAAGGTCAAGTTGCATGCGAAACTGGCTTAAATATAGCCGAACATCAAAAAGTTGGGCACCTTGTGCATTGTGAAGCTTGTTTTCGAACACGACACCTTAATAATGAAGGCACTATGTTTCCTAAAATATATTCGTCGATATGATTCTGCATTTGAAGCAATTATTTCTGAAACAAATCCAATGTGCCCAGTTGAACATCAGAAGGAAAATCCCGCCAGCGCTCCTTGTTACGGTAAACATCCTCAAGTCCCATAATGGCCTTGTAATGGGGCGGCTCTGTTTTTCTGCAGCCGCGTCGAGGCCGTTACCGTGATAATGTTGTCACGGCAGCTCAGTGCCGTACACTCGGCAGCGACACGCGATGCCCCCAGTTGCGAACGACTCTAGGGGGTATATCGACGCCAGCTATCCCATGAGCAGTGTTTGACCAAGCCTCGACCCGATATGCAGGATCGAAGGTTGTTGTCGCGTCGCGTGCCGGGTCGAGTTAGCGATCCGAGTGGTCGGCCCGCCGAGCCGTTCCGTACGCTCCTTACCGTCCGTACGACGGACCTGCTGCGTATTGATCACCGACCCGGTCAGTATTTGTCCGGTTGCGCTGCAACGGCTGGTGCGACACTGCGACCCCGGGTCGACCCTGGGACGGCGGCCTGCTGACCTAGAGACAGGCGCCGTGGACCGTCTGATGACCCCGAGGAAAACCCAAAGGCTGAGAGATTCTCAATCACTGCCCTGACCTGAAATATCTCTTGGTAGCTCGTAAAACCGGTGGTACGCGTGAAGATATTAATTTGCATTCCTTTCTTCAGCCTTTGGTGACTCATAAATAATCCAAACTATGAAAGAGTTTACAGATAAATGTCACAAAAATGCTTTCTGATGTACCATAACGCAGGATGAGCAATTTCAAATGTGTGAGGAGCTGGTGAGCCATAACGGTGTCTGAAAAGGTCTCGTCTCGGGACGTTTACTGGGCGGTATAAAGTTTATGAAATGCTTCCGGCGCGAGCGGCCCGGCGTCGGGACATCGGGTCCGTTTATGGATACCAATATTCAGACGACAGACGACCCAGCCATGCCAGAGATCGATGCCGTCATTCGGCCCGGTTATGAGGCACTAGGAATGCCGGTGAATTGTGGGAAACGACGACAATGTCGCTCCGGCAGCGGCGTCAATGGAGGCCGGAGTCCAATAAATGTTGCAGTTTGGTAATAAATGTCATCTATGGAGGCGACGCGCTGATGGTAAATATGTCAGGTCAAATCTATTCAGCTTGGCTCCTTTGCTGCACCAAAGATGTTTTCACCCTGCCCATGGTGCTTTCCATGAACTCTGAAGTAGTTAGCGGGTTTCTTTAGTGTTAGTTGCATTCCCACTGTCGCCTGAATTCAACCCTGTTTTATTAAAACATGACTGTTTCCTAGATTTTCTTTGCAGCATGTGGATTCGCGTCTATTTTTGGAAAGTCATACCATCGACCCAGACATTTCGTGGCAGTTTAGTGTCATTTGGGCCGCAATGCGACTCGTAAACCCCACCCGGGTCGTGCAATCGATGGCAGTCCAGAGCAGTCCGGCGCCGCTATCACAATCTATTGCCACTAGCGGGCCCCGGGGAGGTGGCGTACTTTGTCTGACCGTCCTCTGCATTGGCCCTCCACAGATAAGCTCACAATGACCGCCCGGATTTCCACCATGTCGCTCTGATGATTGTATTTTTGAACCGTCCCTGTTGACCCTGACAGTGTGGCGAGCCCAGACCCTGTAAGCGCCGATGTGTTTCCCGCTCCACTCTGACCCCCGTCTCTCTGTGTGTCCCCAGACGCCGACTCGGGGAGGTGCTCCGCCGCCAGAGACGGGCTTCATCTCGGACCTGAAGGCGGGTGACCTGCTGGGCCGCAGTAACGAGGAACTGGTACTGCTGCTGATCCAGCTCCGGAGGCAGAGCACCGCCATCGCTACCGCCCAGGACCGCGCCCGGCAGCAGCTCAACTCGGCGGTCAGTGCACCGGTGTCAGCGAATTTGTGGGTAGCTTATACGCGGACAGCCAACTGCGCGGGTTAAAATGCCATATTGCAGTTTCCTACGGTGGGGTTCGACAGACGGCGACTCATTACGAAAGACGGTGTTAAAGACTGAAGTTAAGAAATGGCTGAATAAATGCATCAAAGTCTCCATTTCTCATTTCAATCAGAGATTTGGTCAGAACGATCTTAACCTTGTTTCAAGTCACGGAAATATCCCAGCTCTCGCCTCTAGGCACTGCGGCACAGCATAGCTTCAGGCGCTGACAACTACTGCCACCTAGCGGCGTGAATATAAGCTACTGAATTAGCGTGGCGCCGTCAATGCTATTTGCTCTCACACTGAGATTCAAATTCCGCATGGACGATCACTGTTTCCTGTTTGTCACTCAACAGTAAAGGACAGTATCAATTTCTCGATATTGTTCAGTCTTCTCAGTGTGGCGTGAAATTTAATTTCGCTTCCTTTATTTATGATCTGTGCGTCGCTTGGGGCGTTCACTGCCTCCCGCACTTCCGCCGTTGTTTGGAGCTGTTCGCACCGTCCTAGGAATCTATAGCCCGGCGCTGGTGATTGGCCAATTACAGGCCTGGTTCTCATGAACTCCATCCCAGGCCTCACGGACCGTAAATAAAACGGCGTCCACCCGTATCGCACATCCAGAGACCTCCGCACGGCGTGGAGTGTATGATAGCCTGTAGTGCATTGTCTGTGGTGTATTCCACTGCCTGGGGCGTGTTCCGAGACCCAGTCATCGTCTCGCCAATCGCCAGCACGGTGTCAATGGGCCGATAATACGGGCGACGCCTCTCGATCACCGGCCGCCCCGAATACGGGCCGGCAAATGACGGACAATTTGCCGTCTAATGTCCGTCCGTCACGGGCGGAGCGGTGGGAACGGACGACATGGAACGGAGACAGACCTCGATAGCAGGGAGGATGACAACGTTTAGCGCCCGGCGATCGCGGGGCGGTGCGATTGGGACAGATGCGACTGTCTGTTCCGATCGGCCCCGCCCGCGGCGTCAGACAGTGTACTGATCCAGCAGTCTGAGGGTGGATTTGGCCTGAAGGATCGGCGGAGCCGTCCGATTGCACCGTCAGCCAATACGGGCAGACTGGGATCGGCTTCTATCGCCGACTGGGCCATGTCGTGTGAGGAGGATGGGCCACACGGGAGAGATATGTTTGACCGTGAATGGGATGGCCGGCGGAGGAGTCGCCGAGAATTGGATCGGATGTTCTGCACGTTGCATTTAAATGTTCTCTGCAGAATATCCAGGCCTTTGTTTTAGTTTCATATTGCTTTCCAGAATCGTTTCTGGCTTTGGTATTTGCGAGATGGTACTGGCATTTACAAACTATATCCTGGTATTACAGGCGGCCTGTAAATGCTCCGAGTGGTTGAGCCCATTTAACCCCATGGCTAGCGCCCGTTTGTGTCGGTTTCTATTGCGGCGCGGCTGCCGCTGTGATAATGGTTATCGTGCTCGACCAGCGGCGGCCGGAGCGAGTTTCCCTAATCCCGGGGGAAGGGCCGCCGTCCGAGTGTCGGCCGGCTGTGAACGTGTCGAGAATCAGCAGTGGTCCGGAATCAGCAGCGCCCCTCCCCTCCCCCCGCTGACCCGCCCTCCGGGGAGGTGGGGTCGGTTCCGGTGGAGTGAGTGTCAGAAGTGGTGTGGATATACGCCGTCACTGCACCATAGGATGGGGAGTGGTGATGGTGATAAAACATACCACAAAAAGGATGATAAAAAAGGTCTCTGGTCACTCGGAGGAGTCGACTGGTTTCTGTCCTTAGACACTGGGGCTTCTCTGACTGATATTGGATGGACCGATGGCAATATGTAGCTGACCGTCAGTCGGTACCGCCAGTGGTCTCCTCTCTGACCTTTTGTGACCTCACTGGACCGACCTGTGACCTACAGGGGCGGTAGCTGAGCCGGCACTAACTGTCCAACCGCTCCAGTCTGTCATTTTCACCCGCGGACCGGAATGGCCCCAGAGGGATTTAAAGACTGGTTATGGTCCCAGTGCAATTGCGTAGCCTTTGCTCGCGGCTCTACGCTCTAACGTTGAACTATACTGACCTATGTGGGGCCAGACATTGACAAGGTCAGACAAATCAGGGCCGAGGTCACCTTTCAATGTGCATGACTGGACTTTTCTGATAACTTGGCAAACACGTCTGGGGCATCAGGTGATTGTATTCAAATCGTGCTCGTCATTCATCGATTTGACGAGCTCGCTAAGTGTATTTGCAATTGATCAACTCACAAAACACCACTCATCACTTATTCGTTTGGTTATTACCCTGCATTTGTCATTCACTTATGGCGATGAACGGTACACGGCGGCCTCCATACAGCAAGTGGTGCATTGTTATCCCCTATTAGCACCGCTGCCTTTCTATTGTGTTATTTTTTTCCGTCCGCACGGGGCCGGTATCCCTCCCCAATCGTCACCGGTGGCAGTGGCAGCCCATGTGGCCTGCAGTGTGTGCTGGGTATACACTGGGCGGCCTGTGCCGTGTACACTGGGTCCGACAACACCGTGTCAATGGCACCCGTCACCGTCGGGTCTGCACTGCTGGCTCGCCTTCCGGCAGACAGTGGCCGGCGCTCCATCGATTACGTCTGTTGTTGGTCCCCTGTGGTTGGGCGGTGCAGTAGCACCCGTGTATTGCAGTGTGTTCATACACACATACACACATCGACACCGGTCTGTCGGTACACAATAGCCACTGGTGTGAGCTGGACATGTGGGGTGGGGATGGAAAGGGGGAGCGTGTGCCTATATAGCCCCAAAGCCTCTGCTGGATGCAGCAGGGCACCTGTATAGAACCGCAAGGAGTGCACATGGTCCTAGCACTATGGTGTGAGGGCTATGTTAATTAGCTAACAACTTGGGAATGATGAATGCCAGACTTGGTGATGCCGCTCAAAAAGGAAACAGTGCATGTAATTTACAAAGTACTGAATGCAAGACTACCAAGAAACTAGCTGGATCTGGGATTTGATATGCAGGATGAGTTCGTCTGAACGGGCTGTATGCAGCTGTTCTTTGTACTGCAACTCCAGTCGAATGAAATTTCCATATTTACAGAGAGATGTTCGCTTGAGTTGACACGTTTGGTGACATCCAACTCGGGGAGATTGGCATCACGTCTAAACTGATGTGTCCGCCGGCATAGTTACTGATATGCTCGGTGACTCTGACGTGATCTGTGTGACAGATGACGGGTGGTGACAGGTGGCCGGTGACCGTTATGTCAGTCTGTCATTGTCAGCTCGGCCGTGGTCCGAACGGCTAGCCGTCAGTACCCGCCGGTGCTTTGGTGTGGGTATCAGTGATGTGGTTGTGGTCCAGCCTTCGTGTTGCTTGTCTGTTTGTGTATCGGTCAGCCCTGCGACGCCACTGGTGGCTGTGTGGCCGCCTCTGTGCGGCCCCCGGTCCGGCAAACCGTGCCACCATTGTATCCTTACCTCGTCGGACCAGCGGCAGCGACGGCTCGTGTCGGAATGTGTCACCCACCCTCTCCACCCTCCCCGTCCCGCCCCGACCGTCCGTCCCTCCGCCCACTCCCCTCCCGCTGTCGCGCTCGCCAATGTCAAACCCCCCGCGGACAATCGACGCCAATAAATCGGCTCCACTTTACACCACGTTTCAATAGGCCGCGGCGCCGTCCGTTCCTGGTCGGGCGCTGGCTGCGGCAGCGCTGTGGATGTCATTCAGCTCCGGAGCTGTGCCGGTGCATGTGTGTGCTGGTGGCTGCGGTCGTGGCTGTGACCCTGGGGTGTTGAGTGTCGCCCGACGGAGGCCGCGGCCGGCTCCTGTGTCGTCAGTCGCCCCTCAGTGTGTGTACGGCGTGTGTGCGTCGCAGTGGTGAGTGTGTATTGATGAAGGAGTGAGGAGCTTGTCGCTTCGTCGGCACACAGACTTGTGTCGGCAGCTGTGTTGTGTTAGTTTTGAGCTGGCTTCGGACCACCTAGCTTTGGTAAGAGAGCTGAGTTGCCGTCATCCGTCTGACCAATTCTTCTTCGTCTTCTGCAGACGTCTGCACCGCTGCCCGAGGGACCCCAGCGGGAGGCGGCCCTGCTGAACATTGACAGACTGCGCTCGCAGATCAGGGAACTCGACAAACAGGTGAGACTCTCAGCCCTGCAGTGCTGCCGACCTAACGAATGTGCCCGTTTGACTATCCCGCTGTCCGAAGGTGATAAAGGTAAAATGAAAAAGTTTATAGGGACCGGGTAGGTGGTACGCACATCATTCTAACCGTCTGTTGGTGGATATATGGACGTTTCAGAAACGTTCCCATTGTCATCGATGGATATACGTCGGAAGTTACGATACCCTAGCAGTCAGTAAGAGCGAGCGACATTGGCAGACTGATCGAATCCCTGATCCTAGCCCATAGTAACGGCCCTGAATGACGACATTGACGCGCTGATAGATGTCCATGGTAATAACGCACCAATCAATGTGCGTCAGCGAGTGAGGTGGGGTCATCATCCCCTCGTCTGCTCGTGCATCGCTACCTTATCCGATCCCAGCGACCATTTTAGCCATCCGCTTTCACCGGGCCGGCAGCGGAATATGGCTTTCTGGAACACAAACAATGCTGATGCGTTTCTGATTGGGCGGCGGTGTTCCGGCGGAGCGATGCATCGGGATGTCTGATATCGATAACGGCGGTCGGTCGCAGTCGTTGACAGGGGAGTGAGGTCATTGGAAGGTCAAAGACTGGGAATGCGGCGTAAGATGCCAACCAAACAAACGGTGTGAACGTTCGCGGATGTGAGTTACACATAGCCCATGACTTGCTAGCGTTTGGTGTGACGACGTTTTGCATTGTGAGCTGCCGAGCGACTGAGTGATCTCGTAATGTATTTCAGCTGCCCAAACGCTATACATTTGCCTTTTATTTGCCATCAGGTCATATATTTTATGCCTAGATATTATATGTGATAAATGAGGCTAGAGAGTTCTACGTTCGCCATGAACCCATTACCGCAGATACTGGGGCATTAGGGACCTCATTAGTTGGACAATTTATCACCCCTAATACCCGGCCGAGCCATGTTTCCTGCCCGACCAACCTCCTTCCGAGCTGCCCGGACGTAAGAGAAATACGCCGCCCGGCCGATGTATCGACTCTGCGGGCCCATTCAGTCTGTCCGTCTGCTCTGCGGGACGGCACTGCAGTGTCTCTCTAAATCGGTGTAAATTGAGACCCCCGTTAGCGCCTGACTGATGAGCGACCAATGGGCCGGCGAAAGGCGGCGGCCGCACTAGCGCTCAAATAACCGGGCAGAAACGACAGCACTCTGATATATGGCGCACACTCGAACGACCCGGAGCCATCGAACGAGCACGAGATACGGCCTTATTCCGAATGAAATGATATATGTCGCAGTGTGAGCCTTCAAGCGTCTGTCTTCCAAGAACAAAGCTTTCTTGAAGTGCTGTAAAGGAGATGGTTAAAAGTAATGCATTTGGCAGTTAGCACCAATGCAGTGATATCGTAAATGCTGCTAAATTTCTTAAAGGTTGAGTGATCATTACACTAATGAAGTAGCTGACTTCTCGCTTTGACCTTTTTTCAAAACCCACTATGACCGCTGTTTGACCTGCCATTCAAGCAGTCTAGTCCATGCATAGTCTCCCAGCCTAGTCTGACTGCCCTCATGCCCTCCGCAGCACGAGCTGACGCGGCCGCTTATCAGCCTGGTGGACAACATGCTGAAGCTATCGTCACTGTACGAGGCGCCGCCCCCGGACGGGCCCTCCGTGCAGGAGCGGCGCCGCTTCTCGCAGCGCGTCGAGGAGCGCCGAATGCTGCGCGAGGAGCGCCGGCACTGGCACGCCATCGCCGGACAACCGTTCGACATGCAGGTGTGTTTTAAGTTCAGTGGCCAGAAGGCTGTCTGATTATGCCGGCCATCACCATTCGGCTGTGTGTGGAATGGACCGTTGTTGTGCTTACATTATGTAGCCACTGAAGGTTGTTTCTGCTAGACGAGATCTTTTGACGAGACTGTCGTGAATCGTGGCTATGTTCGTGGCATGCTAATCCCATTCTGAGAAGATTTATCCCGCAGTTCTTTCATCCCTCATCCTGATATCACTGAGATAAGTTAATCTCTGTCAAACTAGACTCATTTGGCTCCTAACGATGTCTCTTTGAATATCCTCAGTCGTTCATTATGTTCCACCGGAGAAGTTTTGCACGGTTCGAAATTCTTGAGACGTTTACGAATAAAATTTCTCTCTTAGATGAAGTCTTCCGAAGTTCTGATCCAAGTAATCGGCCGGCTTAAGAGTAGTAATCACCTCAGATTTGCTCGGAATGACCATCCATCATGGCCATTTTAGAATAATTCAATGCCATACTCTGCAATCCTGTACAGCTGCTGACATCGGCCTTGTTCAATATCTTGCTCTGAACCTTGGGATTCTAACCGTTATTCAATCGAGCCCCACTGAGAAGCCCCGTACCCCGACTTCCGACTGGGTGTGTTAAGTTCTGTTTGGTTTCTCCGCTCCTAGTTTTGTGGCATGGCGTGTTTTCAGGCCCGCGTTGACCGACTGTTCAGCCTGGACCGTCAGCTGACCCAGCAGGCTGCCGACATCCAGCGCCTCAGGGCAGACAAGGTCGGCCACCGCCGGGAGTTAACGCTCCCCGCAGCTTGGGCGCCGCTTGGTCTGCGACTCTGCCTGCTGACTGCTGGCCGCGCTGCTGATCGCTGACGCTGCTGGCCGCTGACTGACTGCTGACTTACGCTTACGGTGCACCTTGGTGGCTTGGCAGGCACTAATGGCAGCGGTGCTGAGACGGCGGAGACGGCGAAGGAGCGGGAAAGGGTGGATGATCCACGGCACGGCGCGGCGGCCGGCCGGGTCGGGCGTGGCGGGTGTGGTGTGAAGTGTACTGTGTGGCGTGTGGGTGTTTTGAAAAGGAGGCGTGTGTGACGTGCCGGGTGGTGGTGCAGCGGAGGGGGCCGGTGCTTGTTTGAGGAATTCCGCTTAGTTTGAGGAATTCCGCTTAACGCTTAGCAATAACAATCGGCAGAATGAAGAGAATGGTAGGGGAGAGTGGGGTAAGATGCCCAGGGTGGGAAAGACGCCCCACCCCCTCTAGGGGCGAAACAAAGAATCGAACCTGGAAATTAATGTTCTTAGCGTAAAGCGGAAGCCTGCCTTGTTAACTGCACAAAAATTTGCGAAGCTCAGTTGGGCAACGGCTGGCTGGTGATTGCATGTTTTTTATTTGCTGCTTTCAGAAAATATTTTGGCGTCAAAACATTGTAAATATCAAAGAAGGTAGATAATTTTTGCGTCCCTTGCTATAGTCGTGATACATTAACATGCGTGTACTGTGTCCCAAACAGTTTGTTTCAGGGTGTAGTTTTATGGCTAACAAATTGTGCTGATTTAATGTTACTTCGGTACCTTGGGGTAAGATGCCCCCTGTCCTGATGGGGAAAGACGCCCCCCTAAATCCGTAGGCTGTCCTTCAAGCAGCCCGTCAAATCATTTATTACATACTTGTGATGAGAGACAAAAGCCGATCTGGGACTATTGAGAGTCCGGTACGGTCGGGTGCTCCCCATGCCGGTCTCTCGGCCCACACAGCGACTTTTTGGGCGGCATCTGACTCTGAGAGCCCTCACGACGGCCTCTGTGGGCCCCATTATTGGTTCCAGGGCCCCTCACGACATCCTTTGAGGGCTCCCACGTTGGCTCCACGGGCCGCGCTGGCATCTGAGGTCCCCACGATGGGCTCGAAGGCCCTCAAGCATCATGAAGACCTATAAGGGCCCCACAGTGGTCTCCGAACGCCACCACGGAGGCTTGTTTGGCCACGCCGGACTATGATGGCCCTAACGATGACCTCTGAAGCCCCTTACGACTACTTTTGAGGGCCCTTATGATGACGTTTGGTGTCTACTGCAGGCTCGAAGGGACTACTGATTCGTTCAGGCGATTCACGTGCCCATTTATGTCACTTATAGTGCAGGGGGCATCTTACCCAACGCCAGGGGGCGTCTTTCCCACCCTGTGGGGTAAGATGCCCCCTTTCACTTCTTCAGGAAAATGCTTAATAGCAAAAAAAGTTATCATATTTCTGGCACGAAAGTGTGATATTTTTGGAGAAAAATGATGTCGGCTTCCGTTGAAACTCCAAGTTTTGGCTTTCCGATCGTCATTTTCGAATAATATATGACATAGTCAAACCCTGGGCATCTTTCCCCACTCTCCCCTACTCATGTTTCTGAAACACCTCAGGCTGAACAGTATTGCTGGCCTGTGTGGCTTTACCCCTTGATCATGCCTTTCCAAATGTCAGATTAAATGGTATTGTCAGTTTCTAGTGATCAGGAATTCAATTGTCATTGCCGTGATCTAGCTCTTTTTCGAAACGTCAATATCTAACTGAGCTATTACCGACAACACCCTTATCTCTCCTTCTCCATATTCAACTAAGAGCAATTTAACGCTCCCTAAATTAGCGTGGTCTCTATCCTCATTTCTCCCTTTGAAGCTCCCTTCTCATCTTTCCTCAGTATACCGCAGACCCGCCATTTTAACGTCACCTCTCCTCAGGACCGCCTGGAGCGTCGGATCGAGCTGACTCGCCAGGAGGCCGGCCGCGCGCCTCTGCGGGACTCGGAGCGGCTCCTGATGCAGCAGAGGGCGCTGCAGCAGGAGCTGGGCCAGGTCCGGGCGGCGCTGACCTCCAGTGCCAGGGTACGTATAGCGAGAGAGATAGGGAAAGATCTATATAGGATCGTCCAGGGTCAAGGTGTACTCCACCGTTCCGTGCTTCTATCCTCAGGATACAGAAATCCTTCTCCACGCCGCAACCCCCCTCCGGGCTGGACAGGCAACTTTATCTCATGCGGGCTGCTCCCTTGGAGCGGCACCGCTGCTCCCGAGGGAGCGCACCCCGTAGCCGGGTGCAGTGAGTACCTTGGGGCTGGGTGGTCTGTCCTCTGGACGGGCTCAGCCCCGGCGACTCACTAGGGTGCCTGCCCAGACCAATGTCTCCCCCCCCCCCCCTATATCCTATCATCCTTCCGGCTCTGAAATGGTCCCATTGGACCGAAAGGGCCTAACCCAACAAAACAAAAAGCAAGGTGTACTCACTTCCAGCGTTAGGGGATGAACCACAAGGGAGTGCAGCATTCTGTCTCGCCGTTTTTTGTGATACATACCTGAGACAGCAGCAATGCTGCCAAACTCGGTCGCTTCTAATCTGTCCCCGCTCCTCATCCCACAGAGTCTGGAGGACACGGCGGCGGAGAACAGCCGTCTGGAGCGGGAGATGATGATGCTCCGACAGCGCCTGCAGACGGTGATGACGGAAAACAGCGGACCGGAGACGCTGCGCAGCCAGGAGGTACGACACGGGAAAACGGTGATCCACGCTGTCTCAGCCCTCGCCACTGCCTCGAAATGTGCAACGATTAAAGTTCACCTAAGAGCTAACTGATGTCGCATGATAAGCTATGAATCATGTTTCTTTATACGACCGTTACTAGTCCACAATCTATGCATCCAACCTTTCAACTGTGCACTGACCTCTGACCCTGACTTCTCAGGTGCGCGCCCTGGAGGCGGAGCTGCAGCGCGTGCAGAGTCTGATCGACGACCTGGCGGTGCGGCGGGAACAGCTCAGTCGCCAGGTGACGGCGCTCACCCAGCCGCCGGAGCCGACCGCCCGGCCGCGCCGGCACCACCAGGCCAGCTGGATAGAGACGGACCTCGACTCGATGGTCACAGTGGCTGGAGGACGGGCTGCCGCCTTCGACAAGGACCAGCCGCTGTTTGTCAACACGTACTACGAACATCAGGTGCGCTGGAACGAAGATGGTGGGACGAATTTGTTATTTTGAGGCTGTTGTATTGGGTCAACTTGCTCATGAGCGTGGGATGTAAATGGAACTGGTATAGCTGTTTTTCTCCAACTGTCGAAATACGCGCATTAATGTTTTAGCTTTTCGTCAATATGTCGTTCGTTTCACCAGCTGACATCCACCCTCCGTCTTTCTGCCTGCAGCCGTTGGTCCGTGGCCACGAGGCGCCTCCTCCGCCGGCTCCCAGCGGCCACCACACGCTGCCGGCGCGGCCCTCACGTGCGGCCGCCGAGCGGCGCCGACACGCCTCGGGACCGGCACCCCGAGAGCCCTCCCCTCCAGGCCTGGGCGCCGACGATCCAGCCGCCGGGGACAAGGTATCACTGGACAGCGGACTCAACAGCTCCTCACCGACCGACAACAGCCACCAGTCTCTGGTGCAGCCGGACGGTCCGACCAGCAGTGACACCCTGCCCGGGAGCTGGCCGAGCAGCCAGCTGGAGTCGCGCGCGCTCGGCGGCGAGCCGGAGTACCGCGGTACACAGACTCAGACTGGAGAGTACCGTGGTACGCAGACGCATACCGGCGAGTACCACGGTACGAGGGTAAGGGGATCGGAGTATCAGGCCACACAAACGCTGATCTCAGAGAATAGGAGTGGTACGGTGCGCGGTCCGGAACAGCCCCGGAAGAATGAGTACCCGGCGCACCAGGAGCGGGCTCAGTATCACCAGCACCAGCCGCCACACCAGCACCACAAGCAAAGCCAGCAGCACCAACAGCAGAACCAGCAGCAGGTCTGGCGGGAGTCCTCTGAGCACCGGGGTGGCCAGTCCAGAAGCGAATATCACAACTACCAGCCAACGGCGGGCGGTGCTCCAGACCGACGCACAGAGCAAAGCCGACCGGTGAGCCGCGGACAGTCGCGCTCTGACTACCACGAGTACCGCTCCCCCGGCGTTCACCACCCGACCGCGGGGCAGCACCCGAATCAGCATCCTCCTCAGCACCCAGGTCAGCACCCAACTCAGCATCCGGCTCAGCACCCAGCTCAACCGCGTGGCTGGCACCCGCCGCCGCCGGATTCATCCCGTGCCCGGCCCGGACAGGAGCGGCCGCCGCCGCCAGCCTGGTATGAGACCGACGCCAGCCGGCCGCCGCCGCCGCAGCCGCGTCAGCCGCCGGCTCCGCGCCCTCAGATGGGTCACGGCGGCCCGCCGGGGTATGGCTCACCGGAGGACCGCCACAGAGGCCGCTCTCCGGGTCCCGTCACCCAGCAGCCGGGGCCGCGCTCCGCGGGGTATTCAGATAGAAGCAGAGCTGGCGCCGACCAGGAGAAATTTCGCCACCGTGAGCAACAGCAGCAGACGTTTCGTCAGCACGACTCGAGAGAGCTCCGCTCCAAGGAGTATGGAAGCGGCGAGCAGCGGGACTTTTGCGGTGTCGGGGAGTCGCCCTACGGATATCACGGCGGAGAACGCCAGGGATTTCGAGGACCACCGACTGAGGAGACCTTTCGTCGGCCCGTGGACGGACCAGGACCTCGTCAATCCAACAACGACCACCCGCACAACAAACTGCCCCACAACCCCCAACAACAACAACAATATCACCAGCAGTATCAGCAACACCATCAACAACAACACCCTCAGCACCAGCAGCCAGGACACCCGGCGGGGTTTTCCCGAGGAGGTGAGCGCTCAGGGCACCCTCAGCCCCAACCGGCGCCGCGGGTCGGTCCCCCCGAGCAGCAGCAACCTACCGCCGCGCGGAACCTGGCCGGCGTGCACCAGCCTGGCACCACCGGCTCCTCTGCACCACCTCCACCACGGCACCAGTACATGAACGTGGCCCCGGCGGCGGCCGGTGGAGGCCAGGCGAGGGTCGGAGGAGCGGATGGAAGGGAGTCGGCACCGCCAGAGTCAGCGGTGGGCGAGCAGTCGGCGCAGGACCAGCCGAGGGAGAGGGATGAACCGCAGGAGCTGTCCGAGGCCGACGAGAGGATGCAGCGGTTCTACGGTGAGTGTACACTTGAAAATAGCGAGACATCTTACCAACGCCAGTCACTTGCATCTTTTCAACTTGCTTATGGTTCCGGATAAATGGTTCTAGATTGTTTTGGATCCGTTTTCGCTTTCAATACTGATCTATTGTCTTCTTTCAGGAATCATACCAAAGGAGAAACTGGAAATCAAGACCGTGCGTATTGTGAAGCGTGAATCTCAGCTCCGTCAAAAGGACAAGTCCCGACGAGGTATGGACGAATCCGAGCTGACCTCTGTCGGGGAGGCTGATAACCAGGAGGGTGACAGCGAGTCGCCAGAGAACATCATTGAGCAGGACGCTGTGCTCTCTCAGTTTCGGCGGGCGCTGTCGCTGCCCCGTGGCTACGACCGACGGTCCAAGGCGTCTCAGGATGCCATCAGCCGGATACCCAACTTTCGCCACCAGATGCTGAAACGCATGGTGGATCGGGTGAGTCTGAATGGGGATCTGTGTTTCCGGGACGCTTTTGTGTAATTAGATGAAGCGTGCAAATTATTCGGGGTTTTATCGAGTGCCCGTTGCATGTTTGTATTCGTGTAAACACAGTTGTTATTTTTTGTTTCAACATTGATGTGTTGCTGTTATACAGTAGCGCTAAGACACATAACTCACCAGACTACCACAGAGCAGTAGTATCTTCCCTAAATGTGTATCGCACCTCTACCCGTAGTTTGTGTACCCACCGGGTCTGTATGGACCGCGGCCGCACGCGTGATGTGCTCTGTGTCGTGTGCCTGCACCGCCGGCTCGCCACTCGTATGGCCACTCTCTGACCTTCCGTAACCGACCCGGGTCCGGCCAGTCCCCGTCTACCGACCGCCTGTCGGCGCACGAGCGGCTGTTCGGCTCCAACCCGAGCCTGCCGGCCGGCGGGGGAGGCACAGCGACCTCCAGCGGGGACAGCGTCCAGCAGGGACCCGCCTCGCCCGTGTTCAAATCGGACGCCGCGCGCCGTATTGTGGAGGAGCTCCAGGGCCCGGAGCAGTACCGGCGCGCCCGACCTCGGCCGAAGAGACGGCACTTTACCATCAGCAGCAGTCGGCCTGTGCACCACGAGGCCGCCGCGCCCTCGCCCAAACTGGTAGGGAGCGAGAACGGGAGAGAGTCTGGAAATCTGCAGAGGTTTCGATCAGGGCAGAGCCGGCGAAATCACCATTTTTGGCCTCATTGTTTGTGTTGTGAGAGATGTACACTGGATAGTATTCGCTTTGTTTTAGTGCACGCTCGAATGCTCAGTGCGCATGGCACATTGTGTTTTAGAAGGCACCTTCATTTCCGTGTATAAGTTGTGTACGAACTATTTATTCATTCCCCATCACTGACTCCTTTGCTGATGTGTTGAGTGCTTCAGTAACCGTGCCATTATTTTTTGGTGAGTTTCTGAGCCCCATCAAGACATCCCTCCTTGCAGCATCACACAACCCTGACCTGACCTGGTCTGCCCTCTGTTGCAGCTGTCCCGCTCAGCGGACGACATGGACATGGAGCGGGCGCTGGGCGAGTCGGGCGGCACGCCGGACGTGGTCAAGTCGTCGCTGACACGCACCGATCCGCGGTTCGACGCCGACACCATCGACACGCTGCTGGGCACGCCGCAGAAGATCCTCATCCCCGAGAGATACGTCCCAGAGCTGGTCAGTGGGCGTTATTCGTGTCTCTGGGTGGGGTGGGGTGAGGCGGAGTGGGCTATGGGGCGTCGCGGCGCCCCATATCGACGCGTCGGTGGCCCTTATTCAGTTCGTTAACTTCCTAATGTTTGAACGTAAGAACTTATGAAGAGGACATTTTTCCAAGAGCCCTTAACTCGGTGTTTTCACAGCACACTTGCTTAATTTCGTATGGTTAAACCGCAGATCATATCTGATGACCGTCTAGCTCCATGTTAGGAGTTGGATGTCCTCTTCCCCTAGAAGAGTGGCTCTGGTCTGACCTGCTTCATACCCTCGCTTCTTCTCCAGGAGGTGGAGCCCATCTCTGTGGAGGAGCGACTGCAGCGGAGCAGAAAGGCTGCCTCCATCCGACGGATGCTGACACAGAGCACCGGCTTCCTGGACTCTATCGGAACCGCCGGTAAGTAGTTTCAGCGAGCCGGAAGAACTTGGCTTCTCGGGGTGGTAAATTATCAATACACCACTAGACATACTGCGTTGCAGCTGACATTGCAGTTGCTTTAGCGAAGATTATGTCATGAGCACCAAGGACGCTAAGGGATGTGACTCGCCGAGCCCCCGAATCGCCGGGCACACACTCATTACCACGTTCCCTGTGGCTATTCCAGCTGGTTCCACCATACTGATAACATCTCCTCTTTCCCCCTCAGACCACCAGGGTCCGTCTCCGCGCGGCTCTGTTGTCACCGAGAAGCTGCAGCGGGCGCATATTCTCCAGCTGAATGAGATCCTGGCCCGCCAGGTGACGGAGAAAAGCAAACGCGTGGCCGGTGAGTGGACGGCGGGAGGAGAGGGATGTCTGGGGTGTCTGCTGCATGGACGCACCCACCGCGTGTCGGCACGGGGCGACTAAAGGGATTGCAGATAGGTATCCCGTGAATTGCGCAGTCGGCTATCAGCCACCACCGAACGGGTTACACAAAACACCTCGGTCCAACGCCTGTTCGGGTCACAAACCTGTCTGGCCACCGAGCATCACTCGAGCCACGCAGAGATTGAGTCACGATGTCCGAATCACGGGCTATCCCAAATGTTTGAGCTGCTCAAGGTTCCAGGCATTAGGCACTGACTTAAAACGGTTTGAACACATACAGCTATCTGAATCACAGCACGTTAATGCTGACAGTGACACAAACCATAATTTTTAAGAGATACTTATGACATGGGATAGGATGTAACGTTGCTCTTCGGGTGGATGAAAGATTGGTTTGTACGAGCACTAGCTGCATGACGTTCGCTTGTTCAGTGAATCACAGCCTGGCGGCCCTTTGTTTACCACCAAATGTTATCTTACATGTCAGCTTTCACCGTTAGATTGAAGCCCCCATTTGTGTCGATGCTGCTTTGTGCTGCCCTCACGCTATTTCGTGTCCACCGTCATGCCTGTTTGAGCGTAGACTAGTGGCCGCTTGCGTGCCCGTGTCACAAAGCACGATCGGCTAACCTACACAAGGGCGCGTAGCTTGTCCGATTCAGCTTATCGGCGCTGACCGCCTGCTTGTGCTGCCCGAGTGCACGACTCGAATATAGTCGGAGTCGGAGTCGCACGCTCAGTCGCTTCACGTGCATGTTACGTGTGTTCCAGTGTCGACGTCGGTGCACTAAGTCGACCAGCGGCACGATAGGAGAAAAACAAACAGGTACGTATGAATCGCAGATGATGCTATTTCGCCGAATGGAAAAAAGGTTATGTTGGAAACATACGTGCCAGGTTTAACTTTAATGCGTAGTGTTTTTCGGTACAGTTCTTCAGCGTCAGTTTCCAGACCGCATACGAGGGGGTATCGAAAAGTTCTGATCATCACATAGAAGATGTAGACCGATTTTGATGATTTTTGGTTGGTGTGATATTTGGTTGTTAAGAACAATGTTCCCGCAAAGAGAATCCTGAGAACTGGTTTTATCCTATGTAAGAGAGACTTAGAAGTAAAAAAGATTAGTGTTGGGCCCATTGAGGACCGAACCGTCATCCAACTAATCCATTTGAAACGGTATCACACTGAGAAAATGCATCAAGAACATGAAATTAGTTTATGGCGAGGAAAGCCCATCTCATGCACTTACCGAAAATGAAGAAATAATTTTCAACTTTGTTGCATGGCCCTTGCACGGAAGTCAAGAAGTGAGTGACTACCAGTGACTGACAAGGTGGTGACTGTGAAGGAAGTGGAGGACCTCATCCTTACAGATCGTCGTGTGACCTTTCAGATGATTGTGCAACAGAAAGGTTTCGATGCTGGCAGTGCCTGAAAATATTATCAGCGAAGAACTACAGACGATAAAGGAGTCAGCCCGCTTAGAGGTTCGTGTGTCTACTTTGTTCAAGAGAAAAATGCGTCTTGGCCCTTCGAAATGAAAACTAGGCCTTTTTTAGGAAATTGAAGACATCTTCGATGATTTGATGACTTGTGACGAATGATGGGTCTATGTGTATGATCCAGAGACAAAAAGATGATCAAGAAGTTTAAGCACGGCACATCTGTCCTTTTTAAAAGGCGAAGATGCAGAAGCCGATATGGAAGGTCAATGCTATCAGTGTTCTAGATCTGGCGTAGGATAGTCATTACCGACTGTCTTGATGATGGTCGGATAATGATAAGCAAGCACTACTGCACACTTTTGAAGAAGTTGCGAGATGGCCTCAAGCAAAATCGCCGCAAAAAAGCCCATGAAAGATGCTTTATCCGCACCGACAGCGCCCCCGCCTATTCGTCCTGAGCTGCGATTGAAGAAACAACATGATGTGGACATCAAATCCTACCGCATCTAACAAATGCACCTGGCCAGGTATTAACTGACTCTTGATTGTTACGGGAGATGAAGAATCCACACTATGGCCGGTGTTTTATGGACAGAAATGACGTCATTGATGGGGTGGAGCAGTGATTTACGGGACAGTGCGAAGGTCCTGCAATGACCGCCTGAGGCAGCTGAAGAAACGATGCAATAAGTTTGCGGTCGTGTGTGGTGACCTGTAAAGGAGTAATGAACATCATGTGAAAAAATCAGATTTCTATCACATCTAATTCATGGTGATGATCAGAACTTTTCGATACCCCCTCGTACGCTTCAACTGTGCGGAACAGAGGGGAACTTCCATCGTTCGAGCCGGGTAAAATTAACCATTCTTGTCTCAGCCCGCGAGTGTCACGTAGACCATCCACCAGCGGCATGTAAGCCGGCTGGTCTCTTAGTTTGTCCTCGGTGTCTGGGGTGCCATCACTAACTGACCCTCAGTCCTCAGCCGCTGACGGCGTGTCGCTCTGTCATTACAGTGGAGGCCCTGGCCACCATGGAGCGTCCGCGCCGTGCCAAGGAGGACGACTCTCCTCCGCCGGAGCTGCCCATCACTCAGCAGAGGGACAGCTACCTGACCTGACGCCACCCGGCCGCCGGCTGAGCGGTCACGGCGCCGGGACCTGGCCAGGGGCCGGGGGACAGCTGCAGGCCTCCACAGCTGGCTGGGCTGAGATACACTTTATCAGCAGCTGACACACCAAATGTACGACTGAAATGAGGGGCGCGTTTTAAGGACGTGTTGTACGGCCATTTTGTGACCGGTGGTATATAATATTTGTGGTGTGATCAGCGCTTTATTCCGACTATTCGGCGCTAGTTCCTGCATGTGGCGGTCGTTTCCCGCCATGTTAACGGTCACATTTGCGCGCGGCCGTCCGCTCCCGCCATCGCTGTCCGGCGACGAGAGCGGCACGGACGCGCGCGCCGGGCCCACTCTGTCTGTCCCACATTCCAGCGCGCCGGCCGCCGACCGCCGGCGCTGTGATATTGCCCGTCGGCGGCCGCCCCCGCCCCCGCCCGGCGGCGCGCGCGAGTCTTCCCGGCGCACCCCGCCGGAGAGGACCGACCGCAGCTCAGAGACACGCTGTGGCGGGCTGCGGCTACTCTCTGACCGCCATAGTTTTGTATGGAGTTGTGAGAGTCTGAACGACGAACGACCATTTTAGTGTTTTTCACTCGCTCCTTGACAAATTATTTTGTGCTTGTACAAAGTGGATTTGTGAGTGCGTGTACGGTTGTCGTTACTGGCGGTGTGGCAGCCCTCTCAGCACATTCTCATTGTTTATGCCATATAGCTATTACCAGTACTGTTGGGAGGAATGGAAAGAGAGAGATGAGATTGTTCAGCGGCCGCTGTTAGCGCCGCCTGTCGACGCCACAGAGAACTAATACATGTATGTATTGGTCAGCTGAGTCGTTTCGCGTGTATGGAATCATGGGACGATGGTCATGACCCATCAGACGGGAATGCTGGGCGGAGGAGACGGGACAACGAATTGACACACGTTCTACTGCAGTCGTAGCGCGCAAATATATTGTCTTTTCTCATTTTGTGGCTGAAACACACCGCGCTCAAATACCCATCATCGCGTGTGGCACATACCCTCCCCTTGACCTATTATGACACCAAAGAAGTAACTGAACTTCACCGCACACAGCCAACACAACCGAAACTTGGAGCAATATCACCGGACAGGGCGGCGGCCCGTAGAGAGAAGAAAAATATGGAGGGTGGAGGTATTTCCAATGTCAGGACAACCAAAAATACTAGCAACGCGGCTGTACACCCTCGTGAACACCCACTAGTATTATGCACGCTATTGTCATCCACCTATCACAATTTAGCCGTAGATACCTCAGAGGCCGACCGGCGAGCCCCAGTTGATTGCTAGTCCGTAAATCACGAGGCTCTGGCGGTGAGGTAAACCCCCATTGCAGGTCAATGTTACACGCTCGCGCATCAAGGGCTCAGCCGAACGAAGACCGAGAAGCAAGAACGCGCTGTCCGAAACATTGGGGTTTTGGACAACGGATAAACGGACAACGGAGGGTTAAACAAAAAATAGCCCCTCTGCTTATTCACCAGGTAGTGAGCTAGAACCCTGCGTTGTAGGACAGCCGGGAGGCAATGTCGCCACACCAGCTGCCTGCCTGAGGTCGAGAAGCGGACGTCACGTCCTGTAGTGGCGCCCATCTGGTACCGTGGGTAATTGAGCATGCATCATACACCCAGCTGGACGGGCAGACATCACGAACGACTCTTGGCAGCCCCGGCTTCTGATAGAGCTCCGGCCCACTACAGACGCGTACCAGGGACAGAGCCCGCCCGAGCGCCACTCGCCCTACAACACACAGTAAACTGCTCTGTCCTGACCCAGCATCACAGACGCACGGCCAGCACATCTCGGAACCCAGCAGTCAACACAGCACAACCAGCCACCATACCACTAGACCAGCACACAACAGACCCGGACACACAATCCGACCCGCTGCCACGCTTCCACAGCCACTGTCAGCGCCACCGTCACACTCACTGAAACTTCACCCGCTCACCCTCTACACACCCTATCACTGACCCTAGATCACTGCACTCCCCTCTTCCAGACACTGCATCACCTCAATCACTCCAGTTTTCTGAGCGCCGCCTGGACGGCTCTCCTGAGCGCGGTACGACCCCGCTCAGCGGCCGCCGCCAGCCGCGCCCGCTCACCGGCGTCCAGTAGATGGCCTGTCCGCTGTACTGTCAGGAGCAGGAGCCGAGCGAACGCGGCGCTGGAGCGGTGCTGCTCCTCGGCGGCTGAGGATTCCAGTCGGTCGGTGAGGGTGGCCGCCAGATCAGCGGAGGGTGGACAGACGGGCAGGAGTGAGAGCAGCAGAGAGACGGCTGCAGGGGACAACGGCCGGCCGCACAGACGTCTGAGGGGGGAGGGTACACGTCAGGGACTTAGAACTTCTCGATGGTAAAGTAAAAGGCATCTGACGTTGAAAATAAGACGTTGAAATTGATCCCTGAGCATATGACTGTTCAAGTTTTTAGCAAAAAGAGATGCAACGCAGAAATAACCAAGAAAGACAGGCATAAACCATGGAAGACCCTTGATAGTCAGCCTCACCAACTGGATGAACACTGACTACGTGAACTGAAGACTGAAGAGTCCAGTCTGCTAACTGGCCTGGCCAGCAGTCCGACTGGTGTCACTGACCTGACGAGCTGCATCCGGTGGGTCTCCTGCAGTCCCTCGGTGACCAGTCGGGTGGCCAGATCGTCACAGGTGAGTAGCTCTCCAGCCGTCAGAGGCAGCAGACAGTGCTCAATGATCTGTTCCGGGTGCCGGCCGGACAGGCCGACCAGAGCAGAGACCAGCTCCGCGGACGGCATTTCACCGGACAGCAGCTGACGGAGGAACATGGCTGGGTCAGAAACAGACAACGGGAAAAATGACAGGCGGGTGAGCAGGTTCAGCCGATCGGTGATAACGAATGACACGGCAACTCAGAAAACGAGCTGCGAGAGTTACGTGATATGTCATACTTCGAGAAGCTGGCAAGTATCCACGAGGCATAAAGCGGCAAGTACTTTTTTGTCTGTCCTCTTTCCACCTGTCCTGACCCTTATGGGGAATCGTCCTCACCTTGGGTGTGAGCGTGTGCTGCAGCCAGCGGGCGGCGGTCGGGGCATCCAGCGCAGTATCAGCAGCCACCAGTACCAGGTTAGGCTCCAGCCGCAGGTGACTGGCATCTGTCAGCTGCTGAGACTCCAGCGCTGCCACGTCCACCGCTGCCACCGGGCCGTCGGCGGCACCGGTGGTCCCTCCACCGGCCGGCGCGGCGGTTACAGTCAGCTCACTACTAGAGGGTGGTGGCGGGTCGGAGGGAACACGGGCGACAGCTGGGGTGTCCAGGGCCGGCGGGGCAGCCGGGGAGCCGGGGAGGTCAGCCTCAGAGGCGACATCACTCCCGGCAGAGTCCTCTGGGTCGGAGGAGGGCGCAGACAGGCGGCGAGCTCGTTTCACGTTGGTGCCGGAGCTGGAAGATAAAGCGCGCTTCCTGGCGGAGGCTGTGGGCGAGCTCGAATCCTCGGTCTCAGCGCAGAGCTCCCATTCATCCCGAAGACCGGGCAACAAGGGCCACTTGGCGTGTGGCGTGTCACTCGCGCGCAATTCACGAATCGTCTCTTTTAGAAGCGCTATGTTGCACTTCGCAAATTCATACTCATCAGAATCAGAATCATCCTCCATGATTAACATAAGCAACAGCTTTGGCTCAATCTGAAAATAAAGACGGCGGACATTCACTCTGTTCAATTTCACACACACACGCTGCAAAAGACTGCCAATGGGGCTGCCAGTCTTCGTCACAGTTAGAACACGGGCAGCGGGCTCGGCTGCGACAGCGGCGCCACTGCGTCCAGTGACCCGGGAACTGATTCGTCTACGTCGGAGCTCGGCGGGCTCGTGTCGCTGCTGGAGCTTCCTTCATCTTCCACCGGCTGTGTGCCTCCGGCCTCCGCTGCCGGCCCGCCCTCGGCAGCTGGGTGCTCCTTGGCCTCGGTCAGCGCTCGGGAGCCATGGGTGAGAGCCGTTAACTTCACACCCTGTCCGGCGGCGGCGCGCACAAAGCCAGTGTTAGCCGTCACGGTGGGGATGCGCAGCGCCTCACCGGTGCCGAACACAGCCGCCGAGCGACCGCGCACCTTTCCGCGCGCCGCGAGCAGAGCGGTGGCCGGCGCCGTGCGGTCCTCCACCACCTGCAGTCGCTGCAGCAGGAGACGCGCGCGTGCCTGCTCGCTCGGCCCGCCCACCGTGTTCACGATGGAGACGAACGCCCGCTCGGCGGAACGGCAGCATACGAGCTGCCGTCCGGCGAACAGGCGGTCCAGGGCGGGCTTCACGGGCGTCTCGCGCTCCCAGGCGGCCTGCTGAGACAGCACCGGCTCGGAGAAGGAGGCGTGGCAGTGGCCGTTGGTGAGGTTCGACACGTACGCCAGCATCGCCGTCACGTCCAGGTTCAGACCGGAGTCGGGTGATAGAGATCCAAGCGTGGCGGACACTCTTTCATCCGAGTTATCCCCCTCCTCCTGATCTAGCGGCGCCGTCTCCTCCCGCTCTTCCTCCAGCTCATCTCCGCTGGAGTCGGAGCCCGAGTCGGAGTCGGAGTCGGCGGCTACTCCCAGCTGCTCGTCGTCGATGCACTGACCGGTGACGGTGACGCCGCGGGCCCTGAGTCGCTCCGCCAGCCGGCGGCCGACGCCCGCCGAGAACACGAACCGGACCGTCGGCGGTCGGAAGTAGTGTCGGTTCCCGTCGGCGGCGGCCAGGTAGCGCTCGGCCTGCTCCTGAGTGGAGCGCTGGCCGAACTCTCCCTGGCCCAGCGACACGCGCTGCAGCGCCGCCGGGTTCCGAGAGATCACCTTGACCCACTCGGCGCCGCCGGCGGCCACCACGTCCACCACAACACGCTCGCCCGTCTCGGGGCAGGTGAACGCGGCCAGCACCGCCACGGCGCCCTCAGCGGCCGACAGCGTGTCGGCGATCGCCTGCAGGCTCTCCATGTTGCTGCTGCGCAGGTGGTCCTCCTTCAGCATGTGCGGCTTCCTCTGCAGCTTCTGCAGAAACTTCAACTCAGCACTGACCTTCCGCGCCAGCTTGTCACAGCCTTCAATGTGCCTTAGAGGCTTCAGCTGGGCCAGGATCTCCTGGCCCTGACGCACCTTGGCGTCCAGCCGTGCCACCCCTGTGTCTGCCATGTGGGAGCTGCTGTTGAAGTTCAGAGGTGTGTCAGACAATGTAGTCCCTGCCAGGTTCGTTGGTGGGTACATGACAGAGACAGGATGTGATTTGACTTGAGTAGGTACTTGCCGCATGGTATTTGGTATGGTCACAAAGTTGTTCTCATCTTTGTTAGGTAGCAAACCCAGTAATATATAAGCAGCAGACATATCTAAATAAACCCTCCTTTATATAATTAACCACTAGGATTCAAAAAAGAAAAAAATACTACAAATGATGCCAATACTCAAAGCCAGTAATATGGGGCCTTACCTACTAGCAACTGGATAAACTCAGCTGGCTGGCCGGCTGGTGATGTACAATAGCTATGTTATTTATTGATATAAACACTGTAGGAGATGGACATGAACATGTAAAATGACACTCAATACTCATAGAAAAATTAAAAGATAGATGTTTAGTTATTTGAATCTGGCATTGATATATAACAAGCTCTGCTAGCGCCATCATACAACGCCAGCTGGCAAACTGTCCAGAAAATAGTATGGCCCGTAATAGGTTTTGATGCCATGAACATCAATAAGTCATCAAAAAGCAAAAAAAAAGGTTTGATTTCTAGTCAAGCTCATATTCAATGAAACTTTATTTCCAACCCAAGCTTTATCAGCTGATTTCAAATCAAGCTTCATTTAGGTAATTATTAATATAACTATATAGTAAGTATGTAGTATGCATTAGAATCTGGCAGGGAAGCATCAAGTACCTAAGTTAAAGTACCAAAAGGAAAAAGAAAATTAAGCATATGATTCATAAAAAGAAAAGGTAAGCAGTTGACTTTCATATACTTTTACTGCCATTGACATGATAAAAAGAAGCACTTAACTAGTTTTGGTGAGTCAAAGCCAAAAGGTACCTACACATGATTGAAGAAACATTTTTATTTGTTAAACCGAGGCTTGCCTTTCTAACATAAAAATTGCTGGCTGTGATAAATTTAGGTTTTAAGTAAATAACAAGTTTCAGGAGCGAAACTTAACAATCTGCTGATGTGGGAAAAATTAGCTGGTTAAGTTATAGTTCGTTTTTTTTTAAGTTCGACCCTCACTGTAAACATCTTTTTGGAAACAGCACGAGATTGCTAGCTGAATTACTGAGAAAACTGGTTAGCGCACTTTGCATTGGAGGTATGAACTAACATTTCCAAAATAAGCTTCTAACACCGATGATGTAGGTACTGTTAAATCAAACGCCCTGAAATTTATTCATTAGTTCAGCTACACTTCCTGAGAAGTCCTCGATCCTTGTGGGGTTGCAAATACCAAGTTTCGAGTCTGGGAAAAAGGAGCCAGGTAGAAATAATTTTGATACAATTGATCGTCTGCGAAATCATTGTGCGCCAACGAGTTTTCTCAGTAATTCAGCTACCAATTCTCGTGCTGTGTTCAAAGAGACGTTTACAGTGAGGGTCGAACTTAGAAAAAAACGAACTATAGTCACATTTTTGACCCCAGCAGTATTTTTTCGCAGGGTAGGTGAGAATACTGATACGTGCCTCCATTGCAACAAACAGTTAGTAAAAGGTACCTAAACCATGCACAAAACTCATTTATACAGTACATGACAAAATATTGGCAAAGCCCTGTTACCTAGCTATGCTAAATTAAATTGATTTTCATTTTTAGACTCCTGAACCAACTCAGGCTCCATGTTGGAACACAAAAGTGTTTTCACAAACACCATCTCCTTTTCCCCAAAAATATCAGCCATAAAAACCTGGAACCAATTTATATCATACCTAAAACAAATAATGAAATACAAAAAACATACATATCCCAAATATCAATTTGTGTCAAATACGAAGCACTCTGAGCAAACATGAGAAATTTGTTTCTCCTGCAGTTAATCTTCGATATTTTATTTGGTTTCATGTCTCATGATGTCATAAGACATAAACCAATCATCAGCAGCAAGAGACAAAGCGCTTGAAAGTGAAAACAATTGCGCTTTTAACGTTCGAGTATTTTCCAAAAAGCGAACAGTTATCATTTTAAGACAGAAATTCTTGTTATTTTGTTATAATTTACGCATTTCATAGCCTAAATATACATCTTACAAAAATTTACTCAAGACGTCAGATTTAGTATGATAGGTGCCAGAAGGAAAAAGAACTTGGTGAATCAAGGATACCAAAATCAAACTAAAACACAGCAAAAAGTAATGCAATTCGACACATATTATCACAATAAATTAACACTTCAATCCTGTTTTGCTTTCATCATTCTCAAATTAAAGAGCCCAAATTATTGATTTCATTGAATTCCGCTTCAACCATTATTTCATAACGTCCTAGCTAAGGTCTCAAATTTTTGTCTCACACGTCTCACATTTATGAGAGACTGATCCAAGGCTATATAAACTGACTGATCTTATTCTAATTTCTTTCTGATGTATAGGAAAATAAAAATTTGTTGAAAGGTCATCACGATTTAGAACATGTGTCTCATGTCATATGTATTTTCTACTTTCTGGACGTTTAAATTGCATTTTCCTTGAAATAGGCAAATTGGACAGTGGTTTAGCATTCGTGGCGATGTTTACATATTGAGGCAATATGGCTATTTTTCAATTCAATGACCGTGTGCGGCTGCGGCGGTTTGGTGTTTCTGCCCAGTTTCTGCCTTCCTTTGCATTGATTTATTGATGTGCCTACTCAGTTGTAGGTACGGTTATGTTCCATGTGATCTTATTCCTATGTCTAATGTCATTACAAGAAAGTAATGACTAGTGGTGCATATATTGGTTGAGGGAACATGTATTTCTCAGATTTCTGTTTCTTTTGCAGCCTTGAAAAGCCTAATTTTTACCAGGTGTAATCTTAAATTGTGCTCTATTGCTATCATTCTGGAATTTGCATGCATTTTGAATGATTTTGTATATTGTATGCCCTTCACCGTCATTGGATGAATGCAAAGATAATCATATAGGTATGCTCAGCTCAGATCGCTCAGACTGAGACCTGTGCGCAGATCCCACACAACATAACACAAAAATCGAGATGGCCACTAGATTAATGATCTTCAAGCATGGAATTATAGTAGAAAACATTGCTTATTAAAGCCTACAAATGAACCAATGTTTGTGGATTCATTCAGAGTTGGCAGTTCTGAGAAAGTCCCTCTAGATCCATTTTGGATCAATGATCTGAGATGGATCTTCAGGAATTTTCTCAGAACTGTCAAGCCTGAAGAAATGCAAGAACATTAGGTCATTTGGAGGCCTTCATAAGCAATGTTTTCAACAAAAATCCCATGCAGGGTCACTAATCTCAGTCTTCTTGATTGTCGTGTTTGGTCTTCTGGGATCCGTGCACATGTCTGGGTATGCCAGTGACAGCTTATAAAATATTTAGATACATCAACCCTTCTTATGGTGCATATGTCTTTCTACCAGGTCCAAGCTTATGTCAGTTTCAAACAATTTCATGCTGAGTGCATAGACTGGAGCTGACCTGCTGAGAGCTGCAGCCATCAAGACAGAGTGTTTTCATTGGATCTGCTAATTTGAACCACCTACCTCATCATGTCAGCTCAAGGTAAGGATACCACACACTTTGTGTGAGGCAAGACTATTAGTTTCTTCAGTGGGAAAAGTATAAGATCATAAAAGCAGATTAAGTCCATGTGTAGTATGTGTTTTTGTTGTGTGACATGATCTATTAGTGATTCCTGCTGGGATGCAGGTATACTCCCATTCATTATTGCTGGTTGCTATATGGCTATTTATGACAGACAACATGCTTTGTTATCAGCTATTGCCATGTCGAGTTGACAACATTAGCTCTACATCTGCAAGTCTCACATCTTTGACCTTACTTACCATGCTTCTTTTAGCTCTACAATTGGTTTGCCACACATTCATCAATTGTTGGCATTCTCCAATCAATTTGTGATATGCTGAATCATCCCATTCTTATCATTTTGATGACTTTTAACTGAAGCATTGTGTTTGTGTCTTGTCAGCCTGTGTAATGTGTCGAGTGTTGTAAGAAGGCCTTTCACCATTTTGGACTAAGCCCGATCGGATCGGAGATAACCTGAGATGCAGGTCGACCAAAGCGGAGACGGGTCGATGGGATCGGAGACACGAGTTGACCGGGGTGGAGACACGAGTTGACTGAGGCGGAGACATCGGGTCGGCCGGAACGGAGACAGGGTCAACTGGAATGGAGACGAAGGACGACTGGAACGGTCAACGGATACACGGGTTAAAAGCAAAAAACGGGAACGGAGACACGGGTCGGGAGCAAGAGACGGGAGCGGAAACACGGAACGACGGGATCGGAGACAGGGACGACTGGAGTGGAGACAAGTGTCGACCAAACTGGAGACACTGAGTGAACCAAGCTTTAGACATCGGCCCACGGGTGCCGAAATTAACTTAGAATCCCTAATGTTGGTTATAACCGGATAGGTGCGGTAGTCTGATCACACATTTTGCTCATAATTTGCTGTGTGGGGGGTCGTTTGATATTCGTCTACGTTCTACACGACGGTATGGTGGTACGGTTGACGGTGCGGACTCTGTTTCATTGCTACTGCCGATGTTCAATGTCTAATTTGATAACGATCCCTTTGATGTCCCAAAGGTTATGCTGACTCGTTATGTTTGCTTGCCCGGAGTCTCACCGGTTGCTTTCTTTATTTGATTAAGCATCGAATGTGGCATTTCTCATGCGAACACACCGCATGTTTTCCTTTTTCTTGCCGAACAGGACTATACTCTGTGGATGATTAGTCTACCGACGGTCTCGGGAACGTCTACCGACGGTCTCGGGAACGTGTCGCGCCGACTGACTGCCGAGCTCGCCGGGACGGTCGTTTCACCTCTGTCGCTGCCGGGTCTCGCTCGACCTGTGACTCATTTGGAGGCTGTTTTGCCCGCCGTCACCTTGGACCTTTTCCGCGATGTTTCCAGTGATGTCTTTTCCGCGATGCTTCCCGCGATGTGGACGGATCAGCTCCTCCCCGCCCCCGGTGCCCATCCCTCCCGATCCCGTCCTTGATGTCTGTCCTCATTATGTGCTCTATTGTGATCGTCTCTGATCCCCTCAGCCCAGAATGAGCCGCTTTTCAGTGACATTCCGAGGTATCCGCCCGGTCCGCGCCGACCCTGCCGGCCGGGCCGGCACCTTGTTGACTCAGTTTGCGGTGGCCGCCGCCAGGGGCGCTGAAGTAGGCGGCTGGCCTCGCCGATCAGTTGGTGGTCGCTCGCCGCTCGGCCTGGGGCGGGGTAGGCGCGTCGGTCGCCGGCCGCTCACCGCCGTCAGTCGCGTGCGTGGCCGCGCGGTGAGGTGCTGTTCGCTGTTGTGTCGCTGCCGGTGGACCCTGCGCGGAGGATCGTCCACAGCGCTCAGACTCTCAGGTCCGGTCTGTCACCGAGCGCCGTAACGGTTCCGCGGAGACCGGCACCGTCGGGTTTCCTCAGGTGGGTACGCTATCGCACGCGGCGACGTAAAAACGTCGGTCGGCGTGGTCTGACGTCAGCTGCGATCGCGGCCCGATCTGCTGGCGACCACGGCCGATAAATCACTCCAATGACCGGCTTAGCGTGGGCACTGGAACCGAGTGGTGACGGCCGCTTGTCACCGCCGCTGCAGAGCGCAGTTTTGTAATGGTTACCGACCCGGACAGGCATCATACATGGAAGGTCGCCCAGCGCCGTCGGTGGTCGGTGTCATGAGCTCGCCGTAGTTGCTTGAATGTGGGCTTGCTGGTCAGTGGTTACATGTGCAGGACAGCTGCACCCGTGCTTCTAAGCGTATTGACTGGTTTGTTTTAGGCTTGTGAATGAAGGAAAGATTATGGTAATTGTCGGTAATCCGTGCAACTATGAGGCTGGCGATGGTAGCTCGCTGCATATCTTTGTCGCAGTCGCACGTTCTGCCAACTTTGAGGCAATGGGGCGGGTAGGTACGGATTACGGAGCCAAAGTTTCGCCGACATTGATGGATTAGGATGTGTTCGTTGGAACGCTGGAAAAGGTGTAAGTTCGTATCCAGATTATAAGCCATGGCGAAACATGTTGTCGTTTTACGCTTATTGATGTCTCTTTTGTTTGACAACCGATCATTTCACTCAAAAAGTTGTCTGCCTATAAAAGCTACGGCATAGCTCGCTAATCCAGCGGGCATGCCTCGGACCGGGCTCCGGGCTCGCTCTATCCTCTCCGTGTTTCCCTTCGCTGTTTGTATCCTGTGCCCCGCATGCCGTGCTGTGCTTGTGCGTGGCACTTGCTTTTCAAGTCTGGCTATGTATCCTTACGTGTTCTTGCCGCCCTTTTCCCCATCGCCCAAGCCTGGTCATGTGTCCACAGTGTGTGTTTTTCTAGTTGTCGCCTCCTTCTCATCCAAGGCTAGATATGGGCCGTTGGGGCGTGATTGAGTGCATTTCACTTCCCCATGCACGCAGTGCAGTGTGTTTGCGATACTCCTCCAGCCCCGCCCCCGCTCCTCATCAGCAGGTGCGTACAGCCCTCCCCTTCGCCCCCCCCCTCCCCGTCCCCTGGGCCTTCCCCTATCCCCATATGTATGTATGTATGTATGTATTTACGATCATGGGCGATCCACACATGGCGTGGCGATATAGGCAACCGACCACAGAGAGCTAAGTAATAACTCGGCACACGCCAGCACTGAATACCATGTCGCCGCTGGTCCCCGGAGCTGTCAGCTGACAGCCCGACACCGCCGTCTCGGGTCGTGACAGCTCTGTCGGCCGCGGTGACGGGTGTGGCAGGTGCAGTGACAGGTATCGTGTCATGCAGCAGCGACCGTCATAGAAAGCTATTCAACCGTCCGGCGATCTGAGCCGTCCTATCGAGTGTCTGAAGCTGTCTTCTGAGAGAGCCGATCATTCAGTAGCTTGTTATAGTCGTTACCTGCATAAGCTAGTTCTCAGAGATGCCGATCAATTGTTCAATGTTCATTGTTACGCTGAGTCGACAGGCAGCGTCGGTTGTGACTGCACTGATTGGATTTCACATGTATTTGTTCAACTTATATTCCATATATTTAGATTGAAATTAAATATTTGTTCTGATAGGAAGACATCATGAAGTTAAATGTGTTACGTAACTATTTTCCAGCACGACTGCCAGTTAATCAAAGCAAATGGGAAGCTTCTTGCTGCTGACATTCGCTGTATTAGTCATTCTCAGCTCGTCGCTCTGATACACAGTCCACCGACCAATCTATGCCTCGACGTTGTTTGTAGCGGCTCCCTCAGCCGTGCAGTCGGCCCTAATATTGGCGCCGTTCTCCATCGCCGCCGCTGGCTCGATCGGGTCGTCCCTTTGATGTTCGCGGGCGTCTTTGATCAGGGCGGCTCCGCTGGCTGCGTATCCAGCACGCGCTGCCTCCCTGCGGACCGTCAGTATCGGCAGGCGCCGCAGCTGGACTCCCTGGTGACCGGAGTCTCTGATTGCCCCGCGCCTGAGCCGACGTCGCGGTGCCTGGTGCGCACTGGATCAGCGCGAGCCGGGTGTTTCTCCGGAGAGACTCGCGGTGACCCCGGCGCCGGCGTGAGTGACACGATGCTAAGTAGAGGCGGACATTGTCACAGCGAGGTCGGCATCGATGATGAGACGTTTACAAAGTCAGATGAGCGCGTCGGGCCGACCGAGCTGCGCTCTGACGCTCTCTAAATGGCCCCGCGTGCGGCGGCAACAGGTCACTGAGCGGAGTCGTCGGCTGGGACGGCGGAGAGCGGCGGCGGCCGGCCGGACGGAATGTCCGCCTGGGGAGGCTCGGCGGTTGACAGTCGGGCACGCTTGTTGCGCCAGGCGCCGGGTATTGTTCGAGAGGCGAACCGAGGTCTCATGAACCTATCTATTGTGTCGGCGGGGGCTCGATGAAGTGACTCGCAGTTCGCACATGGTATCGGGTTGGTCGTATTTGACCCAGCACTGGTGAGGTCCGTGGTTTCACAGTCACAGCTACGGTACGAGCCGACACCCGTGTGCAAGTTCCATTGCAATTTGCAAGTTCCATCGTTTCGGTCCGAGTGGGCACAATCATGACCGTGGTCGCAGCTGAATGTGATTGGATGGCTCCGCGCCGCCACCGCTTGGCTAACTCTGCAGTGATGAACGGCGCCGAGCTGTCAGAGCCCGTCCGACACCTCACGTCGGCCCAGCGCCCGCACTATTTACAGCCGGTGGTGGCACGGCCCGACATTGGGTTATTACATTCACACTATGAGCTGGGCGGCGATATTGGCTCCCTGGGCCGTGTACCGGTGACGTGGCGGCCCAAATGAGCCGACCGCTCGTGACAGGTGTCGTGCCGGGCGGACGTGGTCGTGCGCCGTGCTCGGTGCTGCACTAATTATACCGGTCCGGTCCCGCAGGGAACCATCGACCGGTGGACACACTGAAACGGTCGCATTTGTTCAACACCAACCACAGCTTTCTGCTTTCCATTTGCAGGAAATCTTTGTCGCATAAATAACAGGATAATGATCGCACCCAAGGACGGTTTTATGCCGCTCAAGGCGTCGTCCTCGTCTGGCTTCATTCTTAAATGAAGTCTCGTTT